TGAGATATTATCTCACCCCAGTAAGAATAGTAAAATTCAACAGAGTAGCAAAGAATAAATGCTGTTGAGGTTATGGAGAAACTGGAACCCTTATTCACTGTTGGTGGGAGTATAAAATGGTACAACCACTATGGAAGGCAGTATGGCACTTTCTCAAAAAGTTGGAAATAGAAATACCATTTGACCCAGCATTCTGCTACTGGAAATATACCCTAACGACACCATAACTGCCACCCAGACAGATATATGCACACCCATGTTTATTGCTGCTTTATTCACAATAGCAAAGAGCTGGAAACAACCGAAGTTCCCATCAGCAGGGTTTAGGATTGTTTTATATATAGGGTCACTATGAGTCACAGGCGAATCGACAGCACATAACATAATAACATGTGATTATGTAGGTGCAACCACCAAATGCTGGTTGATTATAAACTATGAGCACCCCAGCCCACAGCTCTTTGTTAGCTAAATCTGGTAAGTCTAAACAGCTTACACCCACTTGTGGATGAAAAAAACCAAAAAAACAACCAAAGATTCCATACCTAACCCTCATCAAGACACAAGGAACTTTCTTCTAGAATCCAGCCACTTCTCAGGAGCCTCCTAGCTGCAGGCTTAGTCCAGCACTACCGCTTTTTTTAATACACTCAGTGAAAGGGTCCTCAGGCCTAGTATTGTGATTTTGGGATGAACATTCTTTTAAGTGGTACAGCAGTGGCATGTCTATTTGCTGTACTGAAGTTATTTGGAGTTTCTGTGATGCTGAACACTGTGCCATAGGTGTGTCAAATACCATAATGGTTACCCATCTTGGGCAGTGTTTGGTGGAGCTCCCAGATTGATTCAGGTTTGCTTCCACTTACTAAACCAGATGCCTCTAGAAACTCCATGAACACAGAGAAACGATGATCGGTATAGAACAGGGTTCAGGTCTTTTGTTCATAGGATCACTATGAGTCATTCTCAACTCAGTGGCGCTTAACAACACAACATGATTATGTGAGCATTGCCACCGCCAAGACACAGACAATGGGTTTGAATTGCAGATCTCTGGATTAACAGTTAACACTTAACCACTGCACCGCTAGGGCTCTTTACTTCTCCTTCTTATGGCCCTCAAATCCTGATGACCACTAACTGGCACTCCATCTCTGTAATTCTGTAATTTTTGAGAAGGATATCAAAGAGCTCATACACAATGTAACCCTTTAAGATTTTTTTTATCTACTCAGAATAATTTCTTTGAGTTCATCTAAATCATAACATGTGCCAATAGCACATTGTTCAGTAAAATTGTTCAGTATTATTCCAAAGTCTGAACATGGTTCTCATTGCCATCAAGTTGAAAAAGTCCTCATAGCTAAGCCTCCAGCAGGTACTTGAAAGCTGTAAATTACACTAGGGGAAACAGCCTATCTTTCTCCGGTGGAGTTGTTGCTGCTGGATTCAAACCACCAAAGAGTTGCCCCATTTGGATCAGTACTATGCCTCCAGAGCACCCGAGTTGCAACACCAAAGGATTCTATGGGGAAAGTATTGAATGATGCAAAAACTATCAAAAGAAGCCAGAAGGAATACACAGAGTCATTGTACCAAGAATTGGTCAACATCGAACCATAGCAGGAAGGAGCAGATGATCAAAACCTAATGGTACTGTAGGAAGAAGTCCAAGCTTCACTGAAGGTGTGGACAAAAAAATACGGCCTCATGAACTGATGTGACACCAAATGAGGTGGTAGGTTTGGTGGTTTTTTTTTTTCACTCTTTTTGTGTGTGTGTGCTTTTCAAACTTTTTTCTTTTCTTTATTAACTTTAATGAAAATTTGCAGAGACTTAGGGTTTCCAAGTCATTCATTGTTGCACTAAAATGAGGTGTTTTGCCAAACGGATGCAGCCCTGGATGTGTGCTCATGAGCCTATGCTAACATGTTTGGAAGACAGCTACCTGGCTAGCCAACTGAAGGAGGTCTTTATTTGTTTCCATTCTCAAAAAGTTGTGATCCAACAGACTGTTTGATCATAGGCGAGAAAAAGATTTCTGAAGATTAATTTTTAAATGACAGTACCTGCCAGGTAACATCAACAGGGAGCTTCCAGAAATTCGAGTCTGTGCAAAGGGGAATATAATTGCTGATGTCAGATAGATCTTTGCTGAAAGCAGAGAATAGTAGAAAGATGTTTACTTTGTTTTCTTGATTATGCACAGGCAATTTGCTTTATGGATTATAACAAATTATGGATAATGTCAGAAGAATGGGTTTCCCAGGACACGTAGTTGAGCTCACTCAAAATTTAAGAAAAGTTCAAAAAGCAGTTATTGAAATAAAGCAAGGCAATATTGCATGGTTTAATAGCAGGAAAGGTATGAATTCAGGTTGCATTTATATCGTTTCAATCTTTAAACTGAACAAATAATTCGAGAAAATGGATTATATGAAGGAGAATGTGAATTAGGATTGGAGGAAGACTCATCAAAACCTGTGTAATGCAGATGGCACAACCCTGCTTGCAGAAAGTGAGGATCTGAAGCACTTAAATGACAAAGTCAAAGACTATAGTCTTTGTAGTCTCAAAGAGAGTATAGGCAGCAGCAGGATAGCCAAGTCTGACCTCTACTAACTCTACAAAAAGGAAATGTCCTCACCTACAACACAAAACCAATTCCCAAGGGATTAGACATAGTCTCCCACACTCCTGCACCTATTTCTACTAATTCCAACATCAATCTTACTGCTCTATGGTGTCCCACAAAATTCATAGAACCATATTCACATTTATAGGGTTTATTAGGGAAGGTGGTGGTGGTTGTTGTGTATGGGAGAGTTGGAACTGACCCACAGCTGACCCTCCAGCAGGTTTTCAGAGGCAGTTAATCGCACAGGAGAAGATGGCCCATCTTTCTCCCACGGAGCACCTGGTGGACTTGAATTGTGTGCCTCCTGGTTTGCAGCACAGCCTCTTGCCGCTAGACCACATTATTAACCCATTAGGGAAGGTTGTTGTTCTTTGTTGTTGTTGTTGTAATGTGCTATCGAGTCGCTTGTGACTCATAGCGATCCTAAGAACAACAGCTCTGAACCCTGCTCTATCCTGAGCCAACCTTATTGTCTCTGACACACCTATCACCATTACCTTAGTCAATCTGTCTCATGCAGAGTACAGGCTGTAATTCAGGTTGTCAGCAGGATACAATCACTCGGTCCAGACAGCTTCTTAAGTGTGGTTGTAGGCTCTTTGACCTTCAGCCTCGAAGCTTAGGTTTGTGCCCCTTAGTTCAGCCAGTTATGGCATCTTCCCTCATTCCCCCAGCAAGCTTGAGTTAAGACCACTAGCTCTGACTCTGTAGGCCAGCTGTCCCTAGTCAGCTTTGTCTCATATTGGTCTCTGGTTCTCTGTTGAGGCTGCTGTTGCTCCTGTGTAGATCCCAGTCTGGCTGGTACAAGAATCTCTGGCCCTGAAGGACCTTCCTCTTCCTTGTCAGTGCTTGTTGTTGTTATATGCCTGTGAGGTAACTAAAGCTCATAACCTTACGCATAGTGACCTTACACATAATTCCCTGGAATCCTGGCCTCTCTTGAGCAAGTCTCACTGCCTTTGACACACTTACCCCTCTTACTGTCAATCCATCTCATCTAGAATCTCCCTCTCCTGTGCTGTTGTTTCTCCACTCTTCAGAGCATGATGTCATTCTCTAAGGTCCCTCTTGGCAACATGCCCAAAGTATGTGAGATGGAGCTTCAAAATGCTTGCCTCCAAGGAGCAAGTTGGATTTACCCTCTCCAGGACCTGTTTGTTCTCTTGGCGGTCCATAGTATGTTCAGTACTCTTCTCCAACACCATAACTCAAAGGCATCAATTCTTCTGTCACCTTTAGTCATTGTCCTGTTCTCTGAAGCATAGCAATTAATTGCAAAGACCATGGCCTGAAATCAGGAGCACCTTTGTCTCTGGACTGACATTGTTGTTGCTCGTTAGCATTCTGGAGAGGTCCCCAACAGCAAATCTTTCTAATGTAATTTGTCTTTTTAATTTCCCGACTGGTGGTGCCAAGAGTGTTGACTGTGGATCTGAGCAGGCTAAAAATGTTAATCAATCTCAATCTCTTCTCCATCTCTCTCGGATTGCAGTATAGTTTCTGACCAATGTTATGATCCTCGTCATCCACGTAAGAGTTCAAAATCATGATAAATGGAGAAAACACTTAAGTTGCCAAGGATATACTTTGATACATCTGCGGTAACAGCAGTCAAGAAACCAAAAGATGTGTTGTACTGGGAAAATCTGTTGCCAAGGAACTCTTTAAAATACTAAAAAGCAGGGATGCCAGTTTAAAGACTAAGGTGCACCTGACCGAAGACATCATATTTTCTATTACTTCATAACAATATAAAAGTTGAACAATGAATAAGGAATACTAGGAGAGAACTGATGTCTTTAAACTAGGCTGTTGCCCAGAATCAAACTAATTCAAAGGACACGAGTCTATGGCTGTCCTACCCACAAGGCTCCTCGGGAGAGTTTCCTCCTGAAAGAATTACAGCTTCAGAAATCCAATGAAGGGTCACCTATAAGTCGCTTTAACTTTAAGGAGTTTGAAATTTGTGGGTTTTGTTTTATTTTTATATATAAAAATAAAGAACCATAAATCTACGCGCTGGTTAGCAGCCTCAACAGGCTAGCAAAGCCCCCCTCACGCCTCCTACGTGGGCTCGGCCCCGCCCTCAGGACGCGTCGTCGTGACGTCACGCGCCGGCGGCGCTCAGCCGGCCAACAAATGAGCAGCGGCCTCTGCGGCGAGGCGTCGCATACGCTCCGTGCGCCTCGCAGAGCTGGCGGCGCGCAGCGTGTATGGAGGCTTGAGGGCGGCGGGGGCGGAGCGCGCTGCGGGCTGGGGGCATGCCCGCGGCAGGCGCCGTCTAGAGGAAGGTCGGGCAGCCGTCACCACGCTCCCAGTCGCCGTGAAACGCAGGCGAGCTCGGCTGAGAGTGGCTGCGGCGATGCAGCGACGGCGGCGCCCTCCGCCGCCCTCCTCGCCGCTGAGCGATGGCGGCGCGGGCGGGGGTCCCGGCTGCGGCGGGAGCGAGGAGGTGGAAGTGCCTTCGGAGGCGGCCGCGCGCAGCACTGAGGAGGAGGAGGAGCGGCTTGAGCGCGAGCACTTCTGGAAGATCATTAATGCCTTCCGCTACTACGGGTAAGAAGCCCGTGGTGGCCCGTGGCCCGGCCAGCCGGGCGCCCGCCGGCCCTGGCCCACCCGCTGAACCTGTCGCGCTCGCACTCCGGCCGTCACGCCCCCAGGGCACCCACCGGCCGCTGAGCTGACGTCGGGGCGCCCACCAGCCGTAGAGCTGACCTCGAGGCCCTTTAGAACGCCCACCAGGCCCCCAGGACGCCCACCGGCCGCTGAGCTGACCTTGGCGCCCCCAGGGTGCCCACTGGCCGCTGAGCTGACCTCTGGCCCTAGTCACCTCTCATCAGCCCGTCCTCTCCCCCGGTCGTGTCCTGCTCTTTGCTGCTCAGCCGTGTCATCTGAACCCCCCCCCCCCCAATCCAATTAGCTGCTGCTTTCTGCCTTAAAGGTTTGGCTTGGAGGCCGGTGGGATGCCAGGAAAATTTCAGGTAGTTGATGGTCGTAAAGTCCAGTGTTGGGCGTCTTTTGTGCGTGTTGTCGATGCCCTCCAGACTGCACATGCGGGGAGCCCAAGTCCACATACACGTGGGACGCAGTAGAACACGTTTCCTTAAATTACTACCAGTTCTTGTGAGAGCAACTTAGATTTCCATCCAGCTCCCCTTTGGCACTGCAAGTGCAGGCACATTTGTGATTAGTTGCGGTTGCTGGTTATTTTCAACTGGTGGATGAAGTTAAAGTGAGAGGTGGCCCACAACGTTTTAAAGTTTGGTGATTATTATTTTCTTACTAATTTTTCTTTTCTTTTTTTTGTCGGTTCTGACTGGTACAGGAGGATTTTGCCCCTCCTCCAGCAGAGCATCTGGTGGATTCGAACTGCATACGGCTGGGATTGCAGTGCACCGTCTTACCACTAGGCCACCAGAGCTCCCCTAAAGTTTGGTGATTATTAATGAGGGAAATTCTTGAGAGGAGGAGTCGTTGAGCATTTTTTTTATGTTGTTGTATATTCTGGTTCTGTATATTTTTGCTTGTCTGTGACCTCCTCAAGGGCAAAGCCTGAACTTTATTTTTTTTTTCAATTTAGGTTGTTTATTTTTCATTTCAATGAACACCTACAGAGATTTTGGAATTCCATTCATTCATTGTTGC